ATTCTCAATAGAGTACCAAGTAAGTCGGTGCTCAAAACACCGTATGAGTTGTGGACAGGAAGAGTATCCTCACTAAACCACTTACGTGTGTGGGGGAGTCCTGCTGAGGCTAAAGTATTTAACCCAAACATTGGAAAGCTAGATCCCAAAATAGTAAGTTGCCATTTCATTGGCTACCTAGAAAAGTCAAAAGATTTTCGTTTCTACTGTCCAGACAGATATATAAAGTTTGTGGAAATGAGACACGCTGTCTTTCTAGAGGATGAAATGATGAGGGGGAGCATGGTAGCTCGAGAAATTGACCTTGAAGAGAAGCAGGTGTATGCGCCCACTCCGATGATTCATGAGCCATTTTTCTCACTACCTGCTGCCACTGCACCGACAGTGCAAGATACTATGGTGCCAGCACCTGTTGTTATTCCGCCTGTGGCAACAATGAATGACGATGAGGAACCTGTTCTTCAGGATCCTGTAGAACCTATTGCCACATATGAGGGAGAGCAACAACAGCCTCAAACAGAAGATGTGCCAAATATGAAGGCCCCTAGAAGGTCTCAAAGTGTTTAAAATCAGCTATTTCTGCTGACTATGAAGTATACAACACTGAGGAATTTCAAATAGAGGATGATCCCACCTCATTTGAAGAAGCCATGAGAAGTGATCATTCATCAAAGTGGCTTGAGGCCATGGAAGATGAAATGAAATCTATGAATGCCAATAAAGTTTGGGACTTGAAAATAATTCCTAAAGGAGCCAAAACAGTAGGCTGTAAATGGGTCTACAAAACAAAACTTGACTCTCAAAGGAATATAGAGAGATATAAAGCACGACTTGTGGCAAAAGGCTTTACGCAAAGAGAAAGGATTGATTACAATGAGACCTTTTCTCCAGTCTCATGTAAGGATTCCTTCAGAATCATAATGGCATTAGTGGCATATTATGATTTAGAATTACATCAGATGGATGTAAAGACGGCATTTCTCAACGGGGACTTGGAGGAAAATGTTTACATGGCACAACCGAAAGGTTTTGTCTTGGAAGAAAAAGAACGAATGGGATGCCGTCTAAAGAAATCCATTTTATGGATTAAAACAAGTTTCAAGACAGTGGTACTTGAAGTTTGATCAGACAATAAGAAATTTTGGGTTTAAAGAGAATGTAGAGGACAATTGCGTCTATGCAAAGTTTAAGAATGAGAAGCTTATCTTTCTTGTCCTGTATGTGGATGATATCTTACTTGCTAGTAGTGATATCAGTCTACTACCAGAGACAAAGAAGTTTTTGTACTTAAAATTTGATATGAAAGATCTTGGTGAAGCTTCGTTCGTTCTAGGGATCGAGATTTACTGAGATAGAAGTAAAAGGGTATTAGGACTGTCATAAAAGGCATACATAGAAAAGATCTTAAAGAAATTCAATATGCACAAATATAGTCCCTCACCTGCTCCTATAGTCAAGGGCGACAGATATGGAGATTTTCAATGCCCCAGGAACCAGTATGAGATCGATCAAATAAAAACGGTTCCATATGCTTCAGCTATCGGAAGCTTGCAATATGATCAAGTATGTACACGCCCTGACTTGGTATTTGTTACCGGGTTACTTGTCAGATTCCAGAGCAATCCTGAAATAGAACACTGGAAATTAGTAAAGAAAGTCTTGCGTTATTTGCAAGGAACGAAAAGCCTCATGATGACGTATAGAAGATCAGATTCACTCCATATAGTGGGATATTCAGATTCTGATTATGCAGGAGATGATAGAAAATCCACATCTGGATATGTATTCACTCTCGCAGGGGGAGCTATTTCATGAAAAAGCTCAAAGCAAACCATCACTACATCGTCCATAATGTATGCCGAGTTTGTAGTGTGTTATGAGGCAACGGGGTAGGTGAACTGGCTAAAGAAGTTCATACCCGGTTTGAAGGTGGTTGACGACATCTATAGACCACTTAAGTTATACTGCGATAATAATCCGGCAGTACAGTATGCTCACAACAATAAGTCAAGTGGTGCTACCAAACACATTGACATAAAGTATTATATTGTGAAAGATAAAGTCCGGGATCATGTCATAAGTCTTGAGCATATAAGTACCGAAAAGATGCTCGCGGATCCATTTACAAAAGGCTTACCACCCAACGTGTTCAGAGAACATGTAGCTGGCATGGGTTTAAGGAAAAGCCTATAATTTCTGGACAAAAGAAGGCCCAAAAGTTAAGTATCTATTTCAGAACAAAGTGGTGTGTTGTAGTTGTTAAATTTATCAGCAATTGACCGTGATGATGAAACATGCTCTATGCGTTAATCTGTAATGGAATGAATAAAAGTAAATGATATGAAATTGAAAGATGCTAGGAGATCAAGGGGGAGATTGTTAGATTGATCTCTAATCCCAAACTGGGCCCAACGACCCAGTTGGGCCTTTGATCCGCGCCCTGATCGGGGGTGCCCAGCCCACTATGACTGGAGGGCCACTGTTACACTGCGCAATATATAGAGGTAGGGGCCGGTGGCTCTGAGTACGAGGTTCGTCTGAGCCGAGTTCCCCACTGAAACCTAAACCCTAACCCGATCAGAGAGGGGCTCAGCCAGTGACGGGAAGCCACCAGCCGCGCCGCCCCGCTCCACCGACATCGACGACTTCATCGCCCTCTTCGCCGAACGTCGCTGCTCTCGCACAAACACTGACACAACGACCATGGCCGACGCCTCTGGATCGAAGGCCTACGATGGTCGGTAACCTAGCACTACTCCCCCCTCTAATCTCTGTCTAGTTCATGTACTAGGATATGTTATCCATTTACAAGATGTACCCGGCTAAATCTATGACTTTGTGATCATAATAAATCTTAACACCGGAGACTCCTCTTCTTCTTAGCTTGCTTATTGTTCTTTGACGAGAGTTCTCTCTCTCTTTTGTGTAACTTTGAGGAGAGTTCTCTATCCATTTGTTTTGAGATATATATGATACGAGCGTACTGATTTGACAAGAAAAGGGAAAAAGTGAAGCCCATTTTTAGTAGGTTCTTCATTGGTGTTGGTCTAGATCGATCGGATGCTTAACCACACTTACGTTGTGTTGGGGGGGCGGGGGGGGTGAGAGAGGGACAAACAGGAAAGCCAGGCTGGATCCGACGTGTCTACAGGCCATCGGTCAGTGTTCATCTCGTTGGATCCCACACCTCGTAGAAGGTAGAAATGGAGCCGTGTACGGCCAATAATGGTGCGCTCAAGGCTCACCAAACCCTTGAACCGAAGCTAGGCCAGCTGGTCCGATCCCGCAATCCATTTCATTCGATGTTCGGTTCTGTCTAATTTTAGTCATCCGTGTAAAATGAGCCAGATCACTGACTTTGCAGGTAAGCAATTGAACATAAATATTCCACGTGGATGGTTATATATAGCCTTATACGTAGGACAAAAGAAGGTGCTTTATTGCCAAAAACAGCTTGGAAAATTTCCTTCCAGAAAAAATCCCTTGTTTCAGATTAGTAGCCCCCTCCCAATGCTCGTTGAACATTGATCCAACTGCATGTACATACATACAGGGAAGAGAGAGAGAGAGAGAGAGAGAGAGAGAGAGAGAGAGAGAGAGAGAGAGAGAGAGAGAATGCAGTATTTATACGCATACTTTGTTTGGAGAATACGATGATGATGACATGGATCCGTAGTTGTTATATTATTGCCATGAATGAAAATACGATGGCTGCCGCGGCTTGCCTTTGGGGCCACGGGGCCATGTGTGTTGTCTCTGTCTCATCCATTCAAGAGCCTATACTGATTAGTCACCGTCACCGTGATTCTAATCTAAACTAAATCCCCAATACATGATGACCCTAAAGCAATTGCCATTATTATACAGATATACTACATGGACATAGAGAAGACCGTTGCACATTATTATCATGTTTGTTTGGCTGATAAGTCTCAAAGTACTATTTGCTAATTCGTTGTGAGAGAAAAATACTGTTCGTTAGTTGAAAAAATATGGTTTATAAACTAAACGAACGAGACATATAACGCTGATTACGATGGATGGATGCAAAACAAAAAGGGGCAATAAATCAAATTAAATTAAATTCGATGGTTGGGTCGGCCTACAGCGACAGCGATGCCTCGTCCGCTCTGGATTCTGGAACCAACGTGCACCATGCGCCGCCTCGTAAGTAGCACACGTTGCGTTTCGGGGAGCCACCAGCAGTTAGAAACCTCGCTGAATATATAAAAAATTGTATGCGCCCTGTATCCATCGCGTCGCGGTGCATACATAGGGTCAATGGCTGACGCGTGTCTCCCTCCGTGCCTGGACTGGTCGTGGGTGCCAGCTGGAAGCACGGCTCGCCAAGACGTCATCAACAGCGTCGCTAAATCAAGGATCCTGACTTTTTTTTTATCGACAAATCATGAACCGCTACGGCGGACGACCTCTCGACGCAGCGTTGGATTGTGACATGGAGACACGCGTCAGCCATCGACCTGATGTATGCAAGGCGACGCCATGCATACAGGATCCATATAATTTTTTTTTTCCGTCACTCACCGCCCTGGTCCCCCCAGCCCATTTCCTTTCAGATTGCTTGTGCCTATAGCGTTCGAATCTGCTGCTGTACACCCAGACATACACACACACAAAATAAAAAAAAACACACATTTCTTTTTAACTACAAAGTCACATGACGACTCTGATCCTGTATGGCTGTATTATCCGTATACGACTGTGTTACTTCGCTTTAGAAACTTCTTTCATATATAACAAATGTCAGCTTAACTAACACAACCTTCTTTCATGTAGCCACATGAGTTCTACTTCTGTATGGCTGTATCCAATCCTTAATGAACCCTGGCGACATTCTGAAATCATTTTCAACTTTATCTTCTCAATTCAATTCCTGCAGGCTCTACTTGGACATTGCGTAAGCTGAGAGACCGTCAAGGCAAGCCAAGCCAACAGCAAACACCACAGGTCGGCAGGTCCAGAGCAGAGGCGGGCGTCCAATGGACATGGACGGCAACGGCAACGGCAACGGCAACGGCAACTCCCCGCGGCCTCCTACTCCGCACCGGCCGGAGCGGGAGGGGAGCTACAACAGCTACGACATCGAGAGCATGGACGGCGGCTCCGGGGCGCCGCCGTGGCGCCAGCACAACAACGGCTCCTCCGAGGCCCTGCTCCGCTACGACGACGGCGGCGGCGCCGACCGCGGGAGCGCGGCGCGCCAGCCGCTGCTGAGGAAGCGCACCATGAATACGACCTCCCAGATCGCCATCGTCGGCGCCAACGTCTGCCCCATCGAGAGCTTGGATTACGAGTAGGCATTCTTGTTTGTTATTTCTCCTTCCCTTTCTTTTTTTTTACCCCCCTTGACTATTCCTCTTACTGCCCTGTCTGCTTTCAAGTTTATGGTTTTTCTTCAGCCTCTGTCCTGAAAAAAAGAAGATTTTCTCCCCTTCTTTGTTGCTACCCTGGTTGATCTTCTTCCTTGGGTTAGAATTTAGAGTGCCCGTTGCTTTTTAGTTCACTTGGCACAGGGAATTAACAATTGTGGCTGTGATTCTGATTCCTGTAGCTGTTCTTCATGGTTCAACCGTTGCGGGAAGCAACCAGGAGAGTTCCTCGTTATAGGACATAGTATCTCAGCCACTGCCTCCTTAGTACTTCATGCTCGCATCTTGCTTATTCATGTCAACTCTATGATAACTACTACTTGCTTTATGTCCAATCTTCCTTTCGTCTGTAAGTAAATGGCATGTAAGATGGGTACACAATACGAGTTCCTATAATATAAAGCTTCCCAGATATTGTTCTGTGAAGACAAACTATGAACTGGAGCGGTGCCAGCATCCTATATGACAAGTCATATAATGATCTCCATTCCATGAGTAGTTTAATGGTGACTGAATCGCAAAAGTAAAGCAAATGTGCAGACATACTTCAGTCCTTTTCTTACACCCTTCAATATCTTGCATATTTCAGAGTCGTGGAGAATGACCTTTTCAAGCAGGACTGGCGATCAAGAACGAAGAAGCAGATATTTCAGTACATTGTCCTCAAGTGGAGCTTGGTACTCCTTATTGGCCTACTAACTGGAGTTGTTGGCTTCTTCAACAATCTTGCGGTTGAGAACATTGCTGGATTCAAATTGCTGCTCACGAGTGATCTTATGCTCAAGGGGAGGTGAAGTTTCAGCTTCTTTTTTGATGGACAACTTGCATTTTGTTAGTTTTAGTATTCTACTTTGTCATATATTGCTTCATAATCTTTAGCTCATCACTACACTACCGAAACATTTTGTTGATACTTGGAAATGTTACCAAGTTCACAAAGGCAATAGTTAAGTTCTTTTGGTTGCAATCTATAAAGATTTTCATGTGCAATAGAAATGCTTCTGTGAGAACTAGGGAGCATACAAAGTTGCTATTATTAGTAATAAATGTTTTATTGGATTGAATACATAATACTTCGAAGTAATTAATAATTGTGTTCTGCTCCAGTGCAGGTATATTGGAGCATTTTTTGTGTATGGAGGTTGGAATTTAGTCTTGGCGGCAGCTGCAGCAGCAATCTGTGCTTATATTGCACCTGCTGCTGCTGGGTCTGGTATTCCTGAAGTTAAAGCATATCTTAATGGGGTTGATGCCTATTCTATATTAGCTCCTAGTACACTCTTTGTTAAGGTAAGTTTTGGCTTAGAACCATATGTAAAATCTTATGTTCTAAACCTTTTTGTTTACACCATTTGCAATTTTCTTATTAGCTTGTGGAACAGGATCCTAGGACTAGTAAGCTCAACTGAGTGTTATTGTTCTTATTCATATCATATCATAGTCTAAAACTTAAAGGACTTCTCTCGGAAGCAATATGAACCTGAAGAAACTTAGCGCTAACTTACTTCCAAGTAGCAAGAGAAAGAATATTGCTATTGAATTTGATTTACAGCATTCATCGTCCGTGATAATGAACAATATATTCACACCAATGAGCGTCCAGTACTATTTTTTGTTTATATTTTCTTTCTTACTAGGTTCGTGCCCGTGCGTTGCTTCGGGACAACTAAACTTTTGTACTAAAAACATAAAGATCGCACGATAAAATAAAAATAGTGTGAAATTAAATACGTTAAAGTGACATTTAATCCAAAAGGCAAAGTTCATGAAATTAACACAGTCACGGAGAGCGCGACGTCGTAGGCTCACCAACTCTACTGTATACACCTTTCCGTGCGTCACAGCGGCGACAAATAATGCCCTGATAATTTGAGCAAGAACATGTTGTATTGTTACAAAAAACGATAATGTGAGCGTGATGTTCGGAATGTCAATATTACAAATTGAATTTTGTGCATGGCTAAAATTCTTATTGATGGTTTGCAATCATCAAGGTATGCATTTATAGTTTTGTACATTTGTGCACACGCACTAAAAAGTTCATATCACCATAACAAGATTAATTGATTCCTTAACTTTTTATAACTAACCATCTCTTAGAACGCTTCAACCAAAAAATGCTTAGTGACAGACTTACAACCGCCATGTGTCAAACAAGAAAAATATCTCATGTTACCACTTCAATTATATCACTATTTTTCTATCCTCCAAATTCAGTACAGCATCTCCTATAACTTCCTCTAAGATCACCAAAAGTAATTGCAACTCTATTTTTAGCATCCACTACTTTGAACAGTTGTCCTAACCCAACAATCTCATCTTTGGAAAGCTATCCCATTTGCCTTGAACTGAGTGCCAAATTATGCCATTTATGAGCAGAATTGTCCAAGCATTAAAAAAAACTTCCTTTATATTGAATGCCACAAGTCTGACAGACACAATCACGCACGCCACTTTCAATACAGATTGCTGTACCTTTTCAGCATAATTTACAAACCTAAAATAGATTACAAGTGAGAATATGCTGACTCAGACACACTAAAGTCTAAAATAGAGTTCAATGCCAATTGATCATAGAATTGCTATTTTCAATAATGCTTTGATAGATTTTTAGTTTTTCTGTGTTTCCTAAATGCAGAGACCATAAGATTTTGGTTATCAAGAAAAAAGGGTAAGCAGCTGCATGCCATACCTGATCCAACCATACTGTTCATTTGCAAGTGATTTGGCCCCCAACCTTATATGCTGATCATGCCATTTGCTCAAGGTGTCGCTTTCGCTGGAGCTCAACAACCTAAAAGAAAACAGAAGAAATACATGAGCCAATAGTGTTAGAACATGCACAGGTGGAAGGAAAGGACCATGTATATATTCACCCAAATTGGTTTGCTTAGGAATACATGTATCAGCACAAATGAAATTAGAATTGAGTGCCAATTTAACTGGACTCAAACAAAGAACCATAATCACCATCTGAGTATTGTCACAATTTCAAAACAGGGATAAGCCACAAACAAATATCAAAACAACAATGGCTAGATTGTAAGCCTGTAAACAAAAAAAATATCATAACAATGGCTAGCTATTTCTTGACTCAATGCACTGACGAGCAAATCAGAGAAACCTAACTTCTTAACCACCTTCAGAAACTCGCACCGTTGAATAATAATGTTTGTGGCTTCTTGATATGTTTTTAGGGATCCTTTATTGTAAATCCCAAGTAATTTTTGTCCTGCACGTACCACAACAGTCACATCTCAGCTGTTAATATCATGAATTTTTGGACAATAGTCATATACAGTTTGAAAAGGATGATTCCACCTTCCTTTTTCAGAGTATAGTGCACATATGTATTTTTATTATGACATTTGAGTGTACACACTATCTCTTATAGAGCATACTTGTAAGTACTCCTATTTTTATACAGTTCGTGCATTAGAAAGTACACTTTGCCCTTATACTGAACCAAAGAACAACCTTTGCCCTTCAAATACCAAAGTAATAAGTACTTAATGCCTAGATTTCTAGTACCAATAGTGATAACTGCAGGCACAACCGTTGTCCAACCAAACAAGACATTGGCGTGACTGTTTCGTAATTAGAGCCCGATTCATAACGCATATTAACAGACTACAGTAAATGAATAATCCAAATGGGAAGGACTGAGAGAAGGTGGACAAGGTAAAATGAAGCAAGAGCAGTGGGCTCACCAAGGCTTGCGCTGTTGCGCTCGAGAAACTCGGCTGCGCTCACCACCGCCTTCAAAACACAAACAGAAACCTATCAATGTACTATCAAAAGTCTAGTGAGCAAAAATACACCTGAATACCTTTTTATTGATTTTTCATCACTAAAGAAACAAACATCCTCAGGACACAAGGCTCACTTATTTAGAATTCTGCAAATGGATTGAATGAAGGCTCAGTTGCAACAACGCAATATGCTGGAATTTGGTTGCAGATGCTTCCTGAGTTAATATTATTTGTTGAAATAGGTAGCTAGGTAGCTGTCAAAATAAGATCGTTGAGCGAGCACCAAACCCCAATCCCAACTGAGAGAAAGGGAGCTCAGTTTTTTGATGAACTGGAAGCTGTTGGCCGTGGCAAGAAACAGAACAAAAATTGGTCAGAACAAAAATTGGTTAAGCCGTTACTTTGTTGCAGAACATCGAAGGGACAATATGAATATATTCTATTTTCTAGACACCATTTGGTCACAAATAATCTGAAGCACAATGAATATAAATTGCGACTTTTCCCAGAAATTATTTATGTATGAAATCCGTATAGTTTCTAATTGAACAATGCAAATGAATACAGAAGTACTTGATTAATTGTAGCAGCTCAGGACAAGCATATCACACATATTTTATCGAATAGATTGTTAGCGCTGAGGTTTCCACAAATGAAGTCGACTTACCTTCATGGAGATCCCTCTTGGATGGTTCTACTTGGCTACTTTGTGTCTCATGCTTCTTCATCGCAGTGTCTTTGTATACAAATGCAATGTGAGCATGCGTCTGCTCCCCATTTACATGAACCTCAAAGTCGCTTATAACGAAAGGCTTGTCATCGGCGTGTGTTGCTATCTGACAGAAAGAAGAGCTGAATTTTTTTTTTCAAGGAATAGCCCTACTTTCCTTCGCGGGTGCTATTATCGAGAAGGGCTAAGAACTCAAATATTCAACATCTTGTTCAGACACTCTCTGGCGGCTTCTAAAGCAAGTAGAAATTCCTACTGCTAAAGGAAGGAGTCCATGCTTCCATGGAGGCCGATAACCCGCATCGTAGAAAGTAATACTTGAGCGACCTCCGCGAGGGCACCGCGACGCGGACCTCACCTTGGCCTCGCCAATGGACCCCGGCTCCACGGGCTTCCGCCTGCCGCCACCAAGACGCCGCCAAGCATCACACCCGAGGCGGCGGCGGAGTAGCCGAGGGTCTCACAGCGAGGTCAAGGATGCCGAGTTCTCGCATCCACTCCATGTTCTCCTGGATCCTCGCGCCCACTCAAGCTCGTAGTCCCCAATCACCTCCGCCTCGATCGCCGCCGCCAGGGAACGCTGGCCGCCTGACGGTGGTCGAAGGCGGGGGTTCTTCGGCACCGCCCCGCCGCCTTGGGGCCGGGCAAATGTGCAAAGCGGCGGCGTGCACACGGTAGCGGCAACCAACAGGATCGAACCGCACGCCCTCCAAAGGCACGGAGCAAAGACGGCAGGCGGGGCGTGCCACGAGGTCCTCTAGTCCTTCCCGCGACGGCCGACGGTGGATGGATGGATCGGTGAGGAAGATGGAGGACGTCAAAGGCGAGGGCGATGATGGCGAGGACTGCCCGCGACGGTGATGACGGCGCAAGATCCTGGCGGGTGACGGCGACGACGGGGCGGCGGCTGAGGACGACGACAGCCGCGCGTGGAGAGCAATTGTCTGTCTGCAGTCGAATCTCGGGGCGCGAGCTGGATGATGATTCCTTTTCTCACAGATGAATCACGAGGACCGACGCGGATGGTGGCGAACAAATCGCGGGGGAGCGACGCGGATGGCGGTTTCCTTTTATATCGCGCGGGGGAAGCACGGTGACAGCAGGCGGGGATCGCAGGGGCAGCCCGACGACCCTAAGCGGTGATTGTGGCACCAAAAAAATGTCATATTTTACTCTTTTTAGTCTAGGGAATTGATTTTTACCTTCCTGATTTGTTGCGGCTGTTATGGGATTTGAGCCGATCGCATGGAGCGAGTGCGCATTGCCTTCCTGATCTGATTGCATGGAGCGGCTTTGGTGTCGCACCTGTGGACGGAATAGTTATGAATGTTTTAGTTGTATAGAGATTAAAAAAAATAGAACAGTGACCTCAACAGATGACAAGAAACTGGCGGCACTAATTTGTTCTTAGGATAGTGACCCTAAAAGAGTGTCCTTAGTGATAGAGGAATGCCAATAGGCTTAGATTCACTTAATGGAGAGTTTACAAGAGGGTTACATATTTATAGAGGTAAACTAACTAGAGAATTAAGAGGGGGGAAGTCCCAGGCAACAAGCCGGGAGTCCCTAGGCGGCACAGTGGGTGGAAACCCAAGGGGTAGCCGGTACAACAGTAAAGATAGAAAATAAATACTCACACCCCCATGCATCGAACGTCGCTAGGATTTAACGCTCGACCGGAGCGAAACTCCATAAAAACCGAAGAAGGGAGGCCCTTGGTGAAGACATCGGCGAATTGCGACGTGGTGGGAACGTGAAGCACATGGACAGCCCCAAGTGCGACCCGTTCCCGGACGAAGTGAAGATCG